TATTCTGCATTTGTGGACTTTGTCATGTTAACGGCAGATCAAAGTAACCAAGACCGGTATAAACCAGGCACGTTAACTGCTGTGACGAAGTATAATCAGTAGCTTACCGCATGATATGCCTGGCTTTCTCATGATTGCACAAAGTAGCCAAAAAACCGTAGAATTACACTCAACTGCAAATCAATTTGGTTTTTACGAGAGACTCAACTGAATGTGCTGCACACAGGCCGCCTCAAGATTCAGTTGGCACGATATTCGAGATATCGCAGTAAATTTTCATAAAGAAAACTATTCACAAGGTTACTGAAAACTCTTCGACAGCCCACGACTGGTTTAGTCCCTCTTGGGGCTCATCAGGTAGGCGAAGTCCCCGAGTTTCCGTCAACCTTATGATCCACTTGAACCCAAATCGCACTGTTTTCGATAAATACACTCATTTGAAAATCAATTTGGTTTTCACGAGAAACTCAACTGAAAATGGGTTTTCAGCAACCTTGTGAGGAGTTTCATTTATGAAAACTTATTGGCTTCTTTTTATGTCACTTCAAGAGAGGAACTTATATCAAAGTGGACTAAGCAGCGCGCAGTCAAGGCGCTGTTGACCAGCGCATCTTGTTTACCCTGTGAATTGCCTGATGAGTGTCCCTAGTTGAGGATTTTTGAGTCTATCCACGAAGAGATCTATCAGGAATTGGCCGACGAAAAGTTCCTTACACCTTACCCCTTTCGTCGTCACTAAAAGAGAGCAAAAGATGACTGCGTCGATAACCACTGCGAATAGTCTTGTCAGCATGTTATCAGTGAATGGTACGCAATGGCATCATGTCAAGCAGGAACACATGATGGCTTTTACGTTTTCGATGTTTATACTATCTTTCATATTATACTTTTAGGTCCATTTTTTTTTTTTTCTAGCGTTCTTGTGAGCCACCGTTCCAAAACATCATATGGAGAACTAAAAACATGTCCTGGATGGTCTGAGAGGTGGGCTTCAAGTCAAGTTAACGCATCTATGCAACAGTAGGTTGCATTTCCTCGAGGGATATTTGGATATTTGGCAAGCTTTTTGGAGCGGATCTTCCGGTGGAATACCACTCAGGATGTATGAGCTAAACCACTGTTTGTAGAAAAGCTACGATGGGACAATTCCTGGGTATAAAGCTGTTGCCCATGTGGTTTACAGGCTGATTCCATTTGACTGATAATGTAAGTATCAGTGGACCGGCCTGCTAATTGAGAAATTCAGTGACCAAATTGATGTTTCGCATCATGCGGCGAAGCTGACCAAGACGTGTTAGAAAGTTTCTCATGGCAGTCGAACGAATTTCCCTTCCTAAAAACGTGGCCTTTGACTTTTTCGTGCCAAGATTCATGCTGCCCCGTAGGCTATTAAAAAGGTTAAATTAAGCGCACAAGACCCCCCGGGTGTACAGCATACCAATCGCGAAACTGGTACTTGCGCATGAATCCCTATTTTAACAGCTATCAATCAACACTTCTCACCAAAAAGTAACTTCCCAATATATATTCTGAAAACGATGTATTGCAGGGCAGAATATGTGTGAGAGTATGTCTCCGAGGTGACCATCACCCAATGGTCTTCGCCAGGAAGCGGTTTCTGTAGTGCAGTGAACAGCGGTCAACATGCAGATCTTCGTTCTTGTTACGATTACCAACATTTCGGTCGTTATCATCATAATCATCCTGAGCAATAGATTAGTGGTAAGTGTGGGCGTTTCACTATCACACGCCCATTATAAAGAAACGCCCTTTTATACAGAAGATAGCAATCAAGACATTGGAAGCATAATGTAAGTGAAGACACGTTTTATGGTAAAACCTCTCAAGAACACGTGCCCGCAGCTGCGATCAGTAGTGAAGTTAGCATATCTGAGCATTACATCAGTACAAGTCCCAGTCAATAAATTTGATGGCGCAATATCAGTGACCTCCTTCAACGCATTTGAAACACAACAGGAAACTACTTGATAGAGAGTTACAGCATGCTTGCTACTGGGGTCGACGGTAAGCCCTGTTATGCTAGATTCCAAACCATATTTGAGAAGGATTACGGCCGGGAAAAGGATTACGGCCGGGAAAGCGTGAAAGTCCCATAGCAATCAGCTGCTTCAATCTCGCGTTGCTACCCCATGACCTGGCTTGCACCAGCTTTTTCTCAGCTAACGTTTGAGAGCAAGTGGTATTTGGATGCATTTGATTCACTTACTACTGTCCACAATACCTGCCGTGGCGACTCTGATTTGTTACCAACTATTCGCTTGTGTACCATGCTAGAGTCAAATTTCCACCGTCGCGGTAAAAAGATGTCAAATCATTGACGACACTTATGTTCTTCGAATCGTAAGCATCAGGCTTCCGAAAACAAAATAGCATTCAGTTTCATTGAAACGGTCTATATTCATCGTCCCCGTCCCCCAAAGATAGTCCTTGATATCATAAACGACGCAAGCTGGCAAACAATGCTACTGGTTTGAGAAAACTACGTGTACTTTTGGCATGGGACAATTTGATTGCAAACGTATGCATACGGAGACACGAGACACGGAAGAGAATTTCTGGAAGCATGGTACTCCACGGCAGATTTGATCGACCGGTGCATCGAACCGGATCCAATTTACGCACCCCTACGTGCAAAAGACCAACACCTCAAACGGGACACTCAAGGAGGACCGAATATTGGATTCACAAACACAGAAACAAGAGACTCCTTGGAGTCAAATCAATAAAGGTCACGGGCCGGGCCTCGAAAAGACACTCCGGCATCGACCAGATTACAAGGCAGGGAATGCCAAGCTCAAAGGTCACGTGGGCATCGGCGAATGAGGACACAGGATAACAGAGCAACCAGTGGAAACGCCCGAGCGAACAACTAATCGCGATCAAAGGTTATCCCCTGCTAGCAGCAGGTATAGTAACACACGCGTAACACTACTCAACGCACAACCACTAACCCACCGCTACGCACCACTACGCTCCCCAATAACGCACTGATGATGTCACCTCGATTGGTGATGAGCCCAGCTCAGCGAACACGCCAACGACAATCTACGCTACCTGAGTTACCAACATTTTCCTATATAGAAAAAGGAACAATCTGTTAGAGTACAACCACGAATTGTGTTACTGCTTGTACATAAGTCAACAGGCGCAGACTCTCCAAAATGGAATTTCACAGTGACGGAAATTCTGCATCAAAACATTGTTTTTCTGAAGTATAGTACATAAGATTAAATAGATGCCTTGGGTTATTCTGTTTGGCGATGACTGTGAGAATTGATTGCAGTTAAGTAACAAGTTCAAGCCTTCTTCCGTTTCAATTTCAGTAGTAAAATTAGGAAAAAAAGCTTTTTACCAATTTGTAAGCTTTTGGACACACCTTGAGAAAATCCTACCAATATCGGTAAGCGTCGCAGAGGAGCGATTTAGTATATTTAAAATCCTTAGGTGCACCGATCTTTACCCAGGTCAATTTGACTACAGTTAGCTACTGGAAAACTAAAGTGAAAACCAAATGTTCGCAGTCGCACCTCTCTCGTTTGAACGGCCGTCCTCCACTTTTGGCGTAATCATTCCGGTGAGTTCACACCAAAGGGAAGCACTGGACTCGAGTTTCGCTCTTATGAGAGCTCATCAGCATTGCATATCCAATGGCCGTGCAGGGATTTGAACCCCGGACATCTGACATGCGAAGCAAGCGTGTAACAACTACCCCACCAACGCACGTGAATAGACCGACTTAGGACAGACACTGTGAAGTACCGATTGGGCTACAATGAACAGTACATTGAACGAAACGAAGGAAAACAGTCTGTGAATGAAGGAACGGGATGCGGTATCCAAAAATCGATAAACAGAAGGTCGAGAGAGATGCAATTTAATCCAGAAAACTTGAAGACCTCTGTGCTTGAAAATACACAAAAAGAAAGGAATTCCTGAAAACACAGCACCCTGTGACAAACTAAATTGATATGTATACCAAATCACTTGGACATATAAAAAGAGATTAGATAGGTCCTCAAGCATGGCAGCCAGAAGTGACAGAATAGATTATGTCCGGACCGAGGCTCAGAGACCAAAATTCAAAAATTATCTGGACGTCAACTAGTCAGAGGAAGGGTCGATGAGCCAACCAATGGCATGATCTTGCGAACAACAAATCAAACAAGGGGTGACCCCTTAACAAATCGGCTACAAATTGATGATTTCATCTAGACTGAAGACTAAATGCTTGCACCAAATCTGCCAAGTTCATCAAACAGAATACCAGCCATCTGTGCAACCCGAGGTACTAAGTTTTCCCCAAGTAGCAAATGTATCCTACATGGTGTCATACGCATTTGCTGCACAATAAAGGGAACCGAATTAGTATTCTGATCGAGAAAGTTAAGTCGCGTTTTACTGACTGAAATGTAAATATAAACTCAAAGTTAAAGCATTATTATTACCCCGCTAGCTTTTAGCATGGGATAAATGTTACATCATCTTAACCAGGTGGTGTAACTTGTGGACCTTCTTAGAATATAGATTATCCGTTCAAGTCATAGACTTTCGAGAAACCTTACGATGACCTCTTCTAAAATTTGAGTTGCATGGGAACTAGGCGGTACGGTTTCTGAGGGTTGTCCTTAGGGGTTACCTCTCTTCGAAAGTTAGTTTGTTTCGTTAAATACCCATGGTTCTCCCGACTCCAGATTTAGTAGCAAGATCTAGTAGAGAGTTACTCGTGGTACTAAATCGTGTGACTTTACTGATGCCATCTCAAATGTCGTTCGCCTATTCATTCGCAGACAAACCCAAAGGAGGGAAAGTATGTTTTTCTGTATCAACACATTGATGAGTATTTTCCCGAGACAGCGAGGTTGCGCACTGAAGAAACACCTACCGCGACAAACTGGGCAAAAATACCATTTTTCGTAGGTTATCAGGCAGCTGATTTGGAGAGATCATGAACCAAACACAGCTAGGTCGTCCGGTATTTGGCTACGCTGCGCGAACGCCTAGAGGTCAGTGTGACATTTCTGATTTAGATCTTAGTTTCCTCCAATTATTCGGTTATCCAGTTATCTCGTCACAGTAAAGACCAGTTGGCCTTTTTGATGATCGCCTTATTTCAAGCGGGTGCCTCTCTAACTTGTTCAACTAACGCCACCACAAGAGTGGTCCGGTTGCCACCACAAGAGTGATCCGGTT